AAAAAAAAAAAAAAAAAAAAAAAAAAAAAAAAAAAAAAAAAAAAAAAAAAAAAAAAAAAAAAAAAAAAAAAAAAAAAAAAAGGATTAATTAAAACTTACTCTGTGGAACACGAAAGACATTAGGAAAAAAAATTTACATGCAAATACATAATAATGTTAAATGTAGGAAAAAAAACCTAACAACAAAAATCTCTGACTGCCTAAGTGGACTGGAAGGATGTGCGCGCACACACACTCACAAATGTCAATATGAATGTGTATTCGTGGTAGATTTAAAGGTGAATTTAACTTCTAAAGTTCCTTCCCATCCCTCAGTCATCATTTACTGAGTAGTTACGTTCCAGGCACCCAGATGCGGGGCGGGGTGTGTGTGAAAAGCAGCTCCAACGTCAGCACCAGAGGCACACACTCGGAATTGGGAATCCACTGCAAGGAACACGAGTGGGTAAGAGCGCGAAGGAAGAAGCACCAACTCGGCCCCAGAGACCAGAAAATGCCTTTAAGATGGCTTGCGAGTTCGCCAAATGACGATCAGTGAGCAGAGTGTTCCAGCTGGACAACAGCGCGAGTTACCTACAGCCGGAGGTGGGACAATGGAGCGCAGTGTGCGTGACCGGAAAAAGAATGGTATGAGCTCAGGAGGTTGGCGGGGCCGAAATCACGCAGAGCCTGGAAAGCTGGGGTAAGGATCGCAGACGTTAGGCTAAGAAACAAAAGTCAAAACATGTGTCGGGCAAAAACCTAAACTAATCTGGAAAGCGGAGAGAACTGCAATCTCCAGGTTTCGGTGCCATTGGCTGTGGGGCTGAAGCGGCCTGGAAGAGCAGGGCACACAGGTCGGGCTTGGGAGAAGGGGACACACAGCAAGCAAAGAGGAAATTTGTTAAAGAGACCTCGGAAGTAAGGTCCTTAAGTTAAACTGCCCCGCGGACATAAGTAGACCCTACCTATCCGATGCTCGTACCCTTGTCCCTCCTCTGGCCTCCGCTTCAGGACTACGAGCTTGCGACGCGGACGCCTGCCGTAAAGGATGCCCGCCTTAAAGGACGCCCGTAGCGCGACGTTTGCAGCGCGACGTCGGAAGCCGCCCTTTCCTCAGCCGTCTTCCCCGGAAACCATAGAAACCAAGCCTATTGGGCTGGTACAATGGCTGACGCTTGCAGTCCCAGCACCTTGGGAGGCTGAGGCAGGAAGATAGCTTCAGCCCAGGAGTTCGAGACCAGCCTGGGCAACATGGCGAAACTCCCATCTCTACAAAAAACAAAAAATTAGCTGGGCGTGGTGGCTCATGACTGTGGTCCCAGCTACTCAAGAGGCTGAGGTGGGAGGATCCCTTGAGCCCAGGAGGTCGAGGCTGTAGTGAGCCATGATAACGCCATTGCATTGCATTGCAGCCCTGGCAACAGAGCAAGACCTTATCTCAGGGTAGAGAGCGAGAGTGAGAGCGAGAGGAAAAAGAAGAGAGAGAGGAGGTAGAAAGAAAAGAAACCAAACCCATCAATCATAGATACATAGAGAAGACCTAGCTATTAGTGAGTTCTTGCTCCTTTCTTGCACTGTGGCTAGCATGCTCACGACAACACTGACTGGTGAGAGACTTGACCAAAACCACAGGGGAGAAAACACTGGCTCCCTGCCCACCCCACTAGTGGTTAAGCACATGGACTATAAACCCAAACCACCACATGGGGTCAAATGTAGGTCCCTACCAATTTCGTGGAACCCTGGGAAGTTTTCTTAACTTCACTGTGCCTCAGTCTCCTCATCTGTTAGGATAATTATAGTACTCACAATGGAGGGTTGCTATGGGGATTAACTGATTTATGTATAGAGCACTGAGACAGTGGCTGGCACATGGGAAACATTCCAAAGCAGTCGCAGTTCTTTGATGTCTCAGTTTTCAGTTTGTGGATCAACTGCTACCATGCCTGTCATCTCTTCCAGAAACTCCAATGACTCCCTTTGACTACATCAGAGACTCTGTAAAGTGCTGTGTGTATGTCTTTGGGGGTTGGGTAGGGGGTGGACCACAAGGTGCATGAGATATTATACATTGGAGGTATGGGAGGAAAATACTAGTGTGTGTTTATATATATATATATATATATATATATGAATAATTTTTATTCTTTTTGAGACGGGGGCTCACTCCCATTGCCCTGCTAGAGTGCAATGGTACGATCACAGCTCAATGTAGCCTCAACCTCCCTGGGCTCTGGTGATCCTCCTACCTCAGCCTCCCAAAAAGGTGGGACCACACATGCATGCCACCACTCGCCTGGCAGTCGTTATGATCATTATTTTATTTGAGATAAGGTCTCACTCCATCACCCAGGCTGTAGTGCGGTAGTGCTATCATAGATCACTGCAGCCGCAAATTCCCAGGCTCAAACAATTCTCCTGCCTCAGCCTCCCAAGTAGCTGGGACTACAGATGTGCCACTATGCTCAGCTAATTCTCTTTTTTTTCTTTTTTTTTTTTTTTTTTTT